GCAATTGTTAGGCATAGGATATTTTTTGTTTTGTTCATTTATAGAATATTATGCTTAAATAAGGGTGGCACATATTGAATTGTATGCATTTTAGTTTTATCCTATTAGGATAGGCTACCCACTTTGGAAGAAATAGCTGCTGAAAACATCTTCCTAGATGGGTTTGAATGGTTTGAAAGTTTAGGATTATAATCATGGGACAACTCAGTTACTTGGTATATGTTGTTGCTAGGTGACATTGAGTCTATGCAGACTCATAAGAACCCTGTGTGCAACAGAATGGGTCACTTTGGTCCTGTGTCATCCTCACCATTGTTTTTATGTTCAAACCCATTGTTTACCCCCCCCCCCCCCGTGTCAAGACCTTTTGTCAAGGGTCTTCCCCTTTTTGTTGGCTGCTCCTCCATTCTACCAGGTATGATGCCCTTCTCCAGAGTCCAAAGCAAATACCAGCAGGGTTACCCAAAGTGAACAGGTTTCTGCAGATCTTCCAGACTAAGAGTTGACTGCAATGAAGGCATAGGCTATCCACTTCTGATGAATTAGCCACTGAAAACTTATAAACAGCATTAAAACCAACCTGCATACAGTCCACAAACATCACGATCAGTATCTTAGTGAAGTAAGTAGCATCTGGGGTCTTAAAAGTTGACAAGCATTGAAGATACAGCAATAGGTCTGTACTCAATAAGAGCAAAGCAAAACAATAAGAGCAAAACATAAGCAGAAGCTCAGAAAAGAAATGTATTTGCATGGGTTGCACATCATTTACCCAAAGACCAGAACTAGATAATGTCTGCCTACCATCACTAACCATTCTGAACTGGACCACAATAAATGATCCCTATAAACCCTCTGTCATGGAGTCAAATCTGACTCAGCACCCCTGTAGGTCAGAGGGTCCCTGAGGTTGTAAATCTTTATGAGCAGATAGTCTTATCTTTCTCTCTTGGGGGTGGTTAATGGTTCTAAATCATGGACAGCACAGCTAACAGACCATGAGTAACACACTGAGCCACCGGGGTTCCTTGTCCCATACAGAATGGGAGAAAAAACGGAAAGCAGAACTCAATTACTTGTTTGGGGAAAAAAAGCCAGACAATTTAGAATAGTTGAGAACTGAGAACTCCTCGAGACTCTTACCCTGGGATTCTCTTTAAACCTAGAACCTTCAAATCTAAAAGGTGGTCGATCATCTGAGGTCACCTTTTAGTGAAACAGGAGTGTCACACAAAATAAGGGATATTACCTATAACATCAGTGCCTGACTTAAAAACCATCAATAAGACCAAACGGTCAACAATCACTCAAAACCAAGAGGAGAAGATAAGAGGGCAGGAAAATGAGGGTTCTGGAAAAGGAACAAAAAGAATACAATTAAAGAGAATGTGGCTGTATATGATAGACACAATATCACTAAACAGTTAGTGTACAAGTTGTCAGATGGGAACTTACCTTGCAGTATAAACTTCCATTAAAATTTTTTTAAGCACACTCCTTTTATTTAGAGAGAATTTTAGATTAGAAGGCAGTTGTAAGGCAGCATGGGAGAGGTCCTGTGTATCCTTCACTCAGCTTCCCCATTTACTCACCCAAAATTAATTATCAACTTATGTTACCCTTTTAGGTTTATATGCTGTCCATTTCAGATGTGATGCATTTTTTCATCTCATTGCAGTCATTCGTTCATTATTATCAAATTTCCATATTTTATTAAAGGGCTAAAATCACCCTTTAAAATTAGAAAAGAGTCATCTGCCTTGTAAATTGGCAAATACTCCTGAAAAGGGTTTTAGATGATTTATTCATTAGGCCACCCTTTCTCAGCTTTAGTGTTCTCCCAATGAACTGACATGTGGGACTTTCGTTGTGACATGGGATCAGTATTGGGCTGCTAACTGAAAGGTCAGTGGTACAAACCAAGCAGATCTCTCCATAGAAGAAAGATGAAGCTGTCTGTTCCCATAAAGGTTTGCCATTTGATCAACCTTAGGGAGTAATTCTACTCTGTCCTAGAGGGTTGCTGCGTCAGAAACTACTGGAAGACTGTGGGCCAGTGGGTCAGTTGACACATGGTTGAATAAAGAACAAGTTTCTTTTCAGAGGAAAATTCTATGCTTTTTATCATCAAATTATAAAATGTAGTACTCAGTACTAATAATGTGGTAGCTACATAATCTGGTATCAATTTGAGAGGCTTATGAGTGAAGGGGTGGAGTCTGGTCTGTCAATCAAGATATAACCAATGAGGCCTCTGTGTGGGCATGGTTTCTCCTGAGAATTCTGGGAACTCGTTTTTCCTCCCTGGAGGGACTCCCTTGGAGACTCTACTAACAAGTCTGACTCCCTGTGAGACATTTCTGATGGGAAGCCACATGGACCTACCCTGATGCAGCGCTGGGAGCTGGGCAGTGAGATGCTTACAATCCCGCTGATTCCTTAAGACTTCCAACTGACTGGCCTGTGATTAGCCTGCATTCGGCATTATTGCATGTCATTTGTGAGTCTGAAGAGGACTTTATAGATTGGTATCAGACCTATGGACAATATTGGACTATGGACTTGATCTGGACTAGGCTAGGATGTTTTCTCAATATTCAATTGCTCTTGTATATAAACCTATTTCTTATACACATATGAGGCTCTATGAATTTGCTTCCCTAGTTTACTCCGGCTAACACAAATAAGTAAAGCAAAACCTGGGCAGGGTGAAACAATCATACTTTTCCTGGATGAAGTTGTAAAGGGATTATAGAGTGGTGTAAAGGGATGCTTACTGTAAAGGGATTATAGAGTGGTGCAAATAGATGTTTGGTCTTCGAAAAGTCCAAGTTTCCACAATAGGCCAAGGCAGGTTAATCATTATTCAAGGAGCACAGAACAGTTCCTAGGCTTCTTTGGGAAAGACTACAACCCTGCGAGCAGTCACAGATTCTTGTCATGGGATAGGGATGTTGTCCAAGGCGAAGAAGTTGATGAGAAGTCATAAAAGCTGTCCCTTTCTTTTTCATCTTGTGTAGCACACAATGACATTCAACTTCCATCTCCTTCCAAGAGCATCTACTTACACATGCTGGACAGCACAAAGAGCTTCGTAGCAGGGAAAGTTTACACGTGGAAACTGTGCTGATCATTAGGATTTATAGGAATTACTTCCCTTTGTGTGCTGCTTATTCAGAATCTTTCTATTATGTTTAAACCAAAGAGAACCACTGCTATTGTCTTCTGAAAGAGGAGGCAGTGTCAGAATAATTTATATTTTTATGGTGTTCTTATTATCATCTCTGTCTTTCCTCAGAAGAATAAAAATCTGATGTTAACACTAGAATTTTTCTATGGGACACATACAACCTGGACCATTTAAAATATTTTTAGTGCCCAAAATTTATCAATTTACTGACCTTATTCTTTAACGTATTGCTGCATTCACTGAAGCCACCCAGTGCCTTTGAGTCTACTGACTCATAGTGACTCTGGATAGAAATTCAAGCCTGTAAATTATGGGAGCAGATAGTCTCGTTTTTTTATCCCTTAAAGAATTTGGTGGATTTGAACCTTGGATTTTGTGGTTAGTAGCCCGCAACTTTTCATCCTTTAAAGAGACCCTCAACTACTTAATCCACTTAACACATCCACTCTTGAGACATTTCTTGAGTGGCTGTCATGTGTGTCAATACTGCATTAAAATGGTGACTTAAACATGATCCTTGACTCCATGGAAAATTAAAATGCGATAGCGACAGACAAACAGATATAAAATGCACCTGTGGGTTTTGTTATAAAGGAGCAGTAAAAGCAGTTTAAATTTTATACAATTTATGATAGTATGAATAGAAGTATTTTATGCCTCATGGGGAGGATTTATAATGTTCTCTATCATAAAATGATAATGATGTTGCTAAAGTAAATGTATATGTATATGAATGGATTTGGGGCTCACACTTAATTGTAGCCCTAACCTAAGAACAATTAGTTCTTATGCCATCGACCTACTTGATACACACCCTCATGAGGACAGCACTGAAGATATGGGGTCTTAAAGGCTTGTCTTCAAACAAGCAGTCATCTAAGTGAAGCACCAACTAAGTCCATGGAAGAAGTATACCAGCCTGTGTGATTCAAGGATTGTAAATAATAAAATCCAGGGGAGGGAATTGTATCAGGGTTTAAATTCTGAACACGTGGTTTTCAGAGGAATATGGATGACAGTAGAAGCCCCGTATCCATTTACAGGCTCCCCATGTGCAGTAAGCCTCCAGTATTTCCCACTGTTAATGTATTACAGAATGGTCAGTGTGGCTAAAGAAGACGAAGGAAGGGGCATGCAGGGCAAGCTACAGCTGGAGAGATGGACCAGGAAGACCAAGCATGGAAGGAATGAGGCTTCACATTGCCAGCTGTTCAAGAAAACCTTTCCAGTCAGCTCTTTCTCACTCCAGGTTGAAGTCTGTACCAAAGCAACATGGTAGCAGCACACTGTAAAGCATTTCAGAAACATTGCTCTATTGCGGATAGAGGAATAAAAATGAGGGTCCGGGGAACTGCGCTACCTACTGTGAGCATCAGAAGAGGTTGATTTAGAAAGTGGTGTCTTCCAAAAGAAAGTGGGTGAAGGAAGATGTCTGACAGTGTAAGATATGACAAAATAACAATAATTTATAAATTATCAAGTGTTCATGGGGGAGGAGGGAGTGGGGAGAGAGGGGGAAAATAAGGAGCTGATATTAAGGGCTCAAGTAAAAAGCAAATGTTTTGAGAATGAGGATGGCAACAAATGTACAAATGTGCTTGACACAATGAATGGATGTATGGATTATGATAATTGTATGAGCCCCCAAAAAATGATTTAAAAAAAAAGAAAGTGGTGTCTTCTTATTGCTGGTAGACTGAATTTTCCAATTCTAGAGCAACATTTTCTACCTGAAGATTTCTTTACCCTTTTACGTGTATTGAACAAACCATGCGTTCATTCATCAATTCTTTTCTGTAAAGAGACTCACCTACAACACTGAGCTCAGCGCTGGAAAAGATAGCTCCATGTTTATTTTCTGCCACACACTGATACATGCCAGCATCGGAGAGGCTCACTACTGTGATGTTGAGCAGTCCTTGCTCAATTTGAATCCTACCCTGTGAAAGCAGAAAAAGAACACAAAAACAATGACTTTCCACACCAAGACCTTCAGGCAAGTTTGCTCTGTCTTACATCCAGGGAGATTAATGGGAAGAAAATGCTGTCATGTACATGATTTACATAACATGATCTATTTATCTGTCAACTCAATTTGTGGCAGGTCAGATGCTAAATAAAACAATGGTATAGCAGTTGGTAAATGAAATTTTAATTGTAGGATTCTCTCAAGTTCTCATTGATTTAATAGTGAAACCATTCAGATTAATATCCTTTCTAATAGATGAATTTGAAATTTAAAATGCTTTCTTTCTCTAAGGCATTATGCTAACTAGGGGAAAAATACAACCAAATCTACTGTTTAAAGCATTTTAAATACTCAAGTTATGAGCAGGCAACACTTTTGAAGGTTAATAGGAGTGTAAACTCAGATGATGCAGAGGGAAGCATTGTATATTGGCTGAGGTTTACTAAACTAAAAAAAAGGTATTAATAATTTAATGCTCCTTTATTTTATTGCTGTCAGTGACATGATTTAAGTTTAGGACCATCTGCTGGTAGCCAACCTGAGGAAAGCAAAGTCAATGATGGAACAGGGGACTATTCTCATTTGTCAGCCTGAGGATACGTAATGTGTATTATCAATTTTCATAAGTACCACAAAGATCTCCTCAGGAGAGGTGCCATTTGAAAAAAAAGACTATTTAAAGAAAGGCTGGGTTTCCGTGTGCCGTAGGGTTGCAATTCAGCTGAGTAGACACTTTATTGGGTTTTGATCAAATCTAGGCATTCGGGTTCCTTTGCATTAAGTAAAAAGAGGAAAATCCTTTACCTGGTCACTTCCACTCTAGCAATTTGTTTGAATTTGGCTTTCATGGTGGTGAGAATCAGGAAACCCAGAGGGCCCCTTAGAGTCAGAGGGGGTGTCCGTGATGTGACAGGGGCTTATGGAGGCAGAGCTGTGCCCATTCGCACTGGGTATCTGCTCTGAGCAACTGTTCGAAAAAAAACTTGCACGTTACTGTCTGCGCAGTTTTGTTCCTCAGAGCCGGCCCCCTTCTCAGGGAGGGCTAAGCAGGAAGCTATTGGAGCACAAAGGGAAAACCATGAGGGGGTGCTCCACTTGGAGCTTAGGGAAAATGTCAACTTCCTAATATTTGAAGTTCACTGGGGAAATACAATCAGGAAAACGAAATTGGACATCTGTTCCTCACTCCAAGCTCCTCCTCTCCCTTGACTTCACTCGGATTTCTTTCTTGGGGACTTACTCCATTTTGTTGGGCATTCTGGGCACCCCCAGGAGGCCTCTGTTGTAGTCATCAAGGTTTAACTTTTCTCTTTGCCCAATACTGTTTCCGCTGGCTCCCTTGCAGATGAAATTCCTCAGAAAGCTGTCTGATAACCTCAGGTTTGCAAATCCGTCAGAGGCTGCTCCCAGAGACTCTGTGTCACAGTTCCTCCTTCTCTATCCTTTTCCCAGACAAAATTTTCATACCTCCATAGTTTCAGATATTTTAATCCAAGCTCTGTTACTAACAATTTGACTTTAGGCAAATTGCTTGGTTTTAGTTTTCCTTGTCTGTAAAACAATTACCTCATAAAGTTTCTTGTAAATATAATGTATGTAAAGTGTTAATACATGTTCAATTAAAAACAAAAACCCAACCCACTGTCGGCAAGTGGATTCTGACTCATGGTGACCTTAAGAGGTCAAAGTGAAATGATCCGCAGGGCTTCCACAGCTGTAAAGACATGTGGGAGCTGACAGCCTCCTCTCTCTTGTGCATTTGAAAGATTTCGTTTTGGTTCGTAGCCCAAAACTTAACCCACTGTGCATTGTGTTCTTTTACACAGATTCCCACTCACTACCATTGAATTGATTCTGACTCATAATGGCCCTATAGGACAGGGTAGGTAGATTACCTATAGGTAATCCCCTGTGGATTATGAGACTGTAACTGTTTATGGGAGAAGAAAGCCCCATCTTTCTCCTGAGGAGTGGCTGGTGGTTTCAAACAGCTGTCCTGTAGCTAGCAGCCCAATTTGTAGCCACTATGCCACCCGGGCTCCTTTGAATACCTGCTAGCACTTGCTAAATTTGTTTCAGAAGCACACCTATCCAATACTTGGTGAATATCCTATACCATAGCACCACTCTCATATAAAATATATATGGTTAATATTCTATAACATAGCACAACCATCATAGAAAATATGTGCAGTAGGAGTAGTTTTTTTTCTCACATGAAATATTGAGTATTTCATTGGAATGATTATACCAGATATATATCTGGTGATGTTTATCTATTTTAATGCCTTGTTTACTTTTATGAACATGATTTCTTCATTTATCTTTATGAGCTTCCTTAAACTCATTGCCACTGAGTTGAATCCACCTCAGAGTGATCCTGCAGGATAGGGCAGCGCTGCTCCATCGGGTTCCCAGGATGTAATATTTAGAGAGGCAGACATCTCTCTTCCATGGAATGGCTGAGAATTTGAACAACAAATGTTTTAGCTAGCAGCTGAGTGCTTAACCTCTGTACTACTAGGGCACCCTTTATTCTTCTGGAGCAAACTTAACTATTTCTCTGGTATACTAGTCCATTGATTTTTCTTCATGTGTCTCACAAAATATTGGTTTGCAGGTGTATTTTGAAAGGAAGTTTTTGTTTGTTGGTTTTATCTCTTACTCCCTTGCATTAGTCTGGGTAGACTAGAGAGATAAATTCACATAGATACTCATATGTGTATAAGAAAGAGCTTTATATAAAGAATAATTGTAATTAAGAAACCAGCCCAGCCCAGTCCAGATCAAGTTCATAAGTCCAATAGTAGGCCATATGTCCAATACTAATCTATAAATTCTTCTTAATTCTGATGCAACACACACAATGACATCAAGTACAGGATAATCACAGGCCAGTGGGTGGAAAGCCTTGTAGATCCAGTGGTGGTGGAAGCATCTCAGCACTGGCATGGGTCTCCATATGGCTCCTCCAGCTCCAAGGTTCTGGCTGCTATCACTATAACTCCATGTGTCTTGTCAACAGGAACGCCTTTCAGGGAGAATCTGTGTCCCACATCCAGTGAGCCATTTATCTCCATAGTGCCTCCAAATGAGGTCATCAAGCTGCGACCTGATTGATAGGCTAGACTCCACCCCTTCACTCTTAGTATTTTCAAATTGACAGCAGATTATGTAACTGTCACATCCCATTTTTAGCAACCTTGTGGCTGTTTACACCTAGTGCCCTGAGCCACCAGTCCAGAAACAGGCTGAAACATGACCTGTCAGAAGTCCTACCCTGTGGTGAAAGGGGACTCGCTGCAGTTCCAGTTCCCAGCTGTGGCTCAGTCCTTACCTCCTCTCTTACACCATTACCACCTCTCTTACACTACACTGCAGCATCGGATCAAGCCAGATAGTTGTCTGGTCCTGCTTTCAGCTGATAGCAATAGGTCAAAAGGTCTTCACCTCCTGGCATTTCTACTGTTGCCCTAGAGCAGCGGTTCTCAACCTGTGGGTTGCTACCTCTTTGGGGGTCACAGGGGTCACCTAGTTCATAACAGTAGCAAAATTACAGTTATGAATTAGCAACAAAATAATTTTATACTTGGGGGCTCACTACACCATGAGGAACTGTATTAAAGGGTTGCGGCATTAGGCAGGAATGCCCTACAGCATTTTTTTTCACCTTGTACAGGCACTCTCAGCACCCATAGCCTGGCTCCAGCCCTCCAGACTGGAGTCTTCTCTCTCACTCATCATCTGCTCTACTCGTGTGTCATAGAACTATTAATCTTGGGTTTGAACCTGTTGTTACTGCCTGTTTGAGGCCACGTGGGTGTTTAAATGGTGAACTTACTGTCTGGCCTTGTCCATAAGTCTCTCAGGATGAAGAACATCACATAACCACATTGGGATGGGAATTTGATCATTGTCTTAGTTTTTTAATGTTGCTATGACAGCAATACCAAATGGATTGTCTGAATAAACTAACATGTATTTTCTCACAGCTTAGGAGACTAGATGTCCACATTAGAGATGCCAGGTCTGCAAGAAAATTCTTATCTATTTTGCTGACTTTGTGAATTGAAAAAAGTCTCCTCTTTCTGTTTTGAAACGGCCATGTTAAAATAATATTCATAGGTGATCGTAAGGTTTTGTAGTCTCAGGATTAGGCCTGGATTCTCAGTAGTTTGCCAGTTAAGACCCAGTCAGTTTCATGGCCTAACACAATGTCATTGCCTCCTTAATGGAATGTGCTATGAGTAGAGAATCCGTTGTATGAAGATTAGAGTGGGATATACAACACCTTTCCTTGGGCCACAGGCCTGGTGCAGTCCATTGAAAGGAAGTTTCCCAGGGGGTGTGGCTTGCTCCCTAGAAGTGGACATTTTAAGTGTTGGGGTGGGGGGGGGTGGAATCTTGTGTGCTTTGGCTTGGGCCTGGACCCTGCACCCGGGGTTCATTAATCCCTGGTTCGTTGGACTTGAGAAAACATCCCGTCATATTGACTGTCAATCCTGGAAGTCCTCAGAAGCCTGCCATCTGAGCTGCCAACCTTGTTGTTAGGTTTGATTAAGTCACTTGCAATCCATAATGATAGTATGCACAACAGAATGAACCGTTGCTCAATTCTGTGGATTCCTCACTCTTATTCCTATGCTTAAACCCACTGTTGCAGTCCTGTATCAATCCATATCCTTGCCAGCCTTCCTCTCCTTTGCTGCCCCTGCACTTTACCAAATATGTCATTCCCCAGGGACTGGTATCTCCTATCAATATGTCCAAGGCATGTGAGATAAAGTCTTGATATCCTTACTTCTAAGGGACACTCTGACTGCACTTCTTCCAAGACAGACTTGTTTGTTCGTTTAGCAGTCCATGATACATTTAATATTCTTCTCTAGCACTGCAATGAAAATGCATTGCTTCTTTTTCAGTCTTTCATATTCAATGTCTAATTTTCACTTGCATATGAGACATTTGAAAATACTATGGCTTAAGTCAGGCACACTTTAGTCCTCAAAGTAACATTCTTGCTTTTCAACACTTTAAAGAAGTCTTGTGCAGTGGATTTACTTAATGCAACTAATTTTTTGGTCTCCTGGCTGCTGCTTCAATGAGCTTTGATTGTGGATACAGGCAAGATGAAATCATAGACAATGTCAACCTTTTTGCTATTTATCATAATATTACCTATTTGTCCAAATATCACCTATTGGTCCAGTTGTAATCCTCTTTGCCTTGAGTTGTAATCCATACTGAAAGCTTCAATCCTTGATCTTCATCAGCAAGTGCCTCAAGTGCTCCTCACGTTCAGTAGGCAAGGTTGTCATCTGCATATTGCAGGTGTTAATAAGCCTCCAATCCTGATGCTGCATTCTTCTTCATATACTCCAACTTCTCTGATTTTTTGGTCAACATGCAGATTGAATATGTATGGTGAGAGGATACACCAGTGACATATAGTTTTTGTTTGGAATCATGCACTATTCCATTGTATTGATTTGATAATCTTGGGTTTATTCAGTTCTATAGTCACAATCTGAATTGCCGACTTTAGATTCTTCTGAATCTTCAGCTATAGGCTTGTGTTTATCTTGGGTTTGTCAGCCCCCACAGCCGCTCCAGTCAGGAGAAGTCTTCAGCTTAACATTCAATCACAGACCTGACACTCTCCTGGTTTATATTCACCTGCTTCTACATTTTCTTAATATGAATCCATAAGTATATATAAATATATATATATATATGTGTGTGTATCTATTTCTCTTTAGCTACATATATATGGACACACATATGTGTCACTAGTTTTGCTTCTTTAGTGAAGTCAGCCTAATACAGAGCAGCAATCTTTACATTGCATTGATCTTCCCTGTGTATGCATCTTTCCATACTCCTATGTCTACTCTGCTTCTTTTACATCTCAAAGTTTATTAGTTTCAGGGATACCCTGCACTGGCATGGCCTTAATAGCATCACAAAGAAAATCCCAGATAGGATTACATTCACTTGAATGTATACTCCATATTTTGAAGGAACACAAAGGAGTTTATAACAGATGCCAGCAGGTCACTCATTGGTCAGTGACTCACTCTTTCATATTGTATTCACATATTTGCATCTCATCAAAGCTACAGGTTGTAGATATTCTGTGTAACTTCCCATTAGTGAAGCCACGGTTAGTCTGTGAAGACTAAAATTCCGTTTTAGGTACCTAATTGAAGGAGGCTGAAAAACTGGACCTGCATGTATTTTGTTTGCATCAACAGGATTCACTTTCACTTTTCCACTATTATGACCAATTGGCTGCATATTATCTTTGAAAAAAACTCATCATTTTCCTGTTTTCATCGCAATAAGTCCATACAAAACACTGCAGTCCACATTAAGGCACAATTATCATCTATTTTCTTACCCGAGTTAAGAGTGGTTCACCATTTTTTAGCCACCTGTATGTAGGCTTGGGCCTTCCACTTGCTTTGCATTCCCAAAAGACATTTTCTTCCATGGCCACGTGGATATCATTTATTTTTTGAATCCAATTAGGTTGAGCTATAGCAATTTAAAAGGCAAAGAAAAATATGCATACTTGAGTAATCATTGAATACACTGTTATCATAGGTAACAAAGAGACAACAATACCTTGCTCGGATCTTACATAAATTTCAAGCGTAGGTAGAGGTTCAAACGGGATTCTTTAAGAAGCGATATACTTCTTAGCCCTAGTACGAAACAAAGATTTTGTGCTCTATATTGTGACTGGTCTCTAAATCACTAAAGGCAGGATGAACAGGACTACCATTATCCTTAGGGAAAAACATTGTCTGTCTCCTCCGCCAATATCGACATACCTTTTTCTAGTCTCAGTGAGAGAAATTTCCACCATAATCTTGTCATGTTTAGCTGACCCATGTATTCTTTATGACACCCTGCATTTCTCAGATTGGTTTGCAGTTAAAGAAAGCCTGTGACTTCATCCATGTCAATGGTATGTGTACAAAATGGGTGAGAGTAACTACCAGGCTTTTCCCATAGAGATGCTTGCCCTGGACTCTTCTTGTACCCGTCCAACTGACTAAAGAACAGCGACAGCAAAAGCAACCTTGGATTCAGAGATGAGAACTAGATATGTGGGATGGACATGCTGACCTATTGGCCTTGGACCTTGAATGATTTTTATAGTACAAAGCAGCTCTATGTCCTCAACCCCCAGCCCCTCTCGCCACATCTTTGGAATACAATTGCAACAAAGATAAAGTTAAGTAAACACCCATATTTTTGTTACAGCATATTAATCTGTCCCTAACAAATACACTTAACTTCCACAAGTTTTATAGACAATATTTATGTCTTTTTCTCTTTCAAGACTATCCTAATTGCATCTTACTTCTTGGTTTTTGTCTTGATAGAATATTACCCAAATGAGTAAGGCTCTAGGACCCTAAATCCCTGGATCTGTCCTATTTTTATCTAAACCTTCCTAAGACACCAAGCCTTTCCCACATCACAGTGCAGGAATTCAAGAAAGTGCTTAATCTCCACATTGCTCACTGTCCTTACTCAACCACCAACGTTATATGATGTTTTCCTGCTACAGCTGAAGCCACCTTATCTTTCCATGTCCTCTAGGGAGATAATGACAATATTAATTCTGAATTCTTAAAAAAACCTTCATAAATATCAAGTCTTGCTTAAAATACAATCATGCTGAATTATGTTGCTAAAAGAGTTTAGGAGAAGACCTTTATTTTATTTTATTTTTAATTGAGTTATAATTACATATCATACAATTCAATGGTTCTATCATATCAAGAAAGGCTGTGCAGTCATGGTCACAATAGACTTTGGACCCCCACCCCCTTTCTTTTACACATTGATGTTGATTTCCCATTTCCCCTTTCCTTTCCCTCCATGTTCCCAGGTAGCCATCAATCCCATTACTATCTTTGTAATGCCTCCAATCTCAGTTTACGTATACGAGGGCAGACACCAAGCAAGGATCCATCAACAATGTCCAGAGAATATTAAAAGTTTAGAACAAATTCACATTGGGTTTGTATGAAGTTAAAATGACCAGATGTTACATTCTGGCCCGAGTACAGTTGCTAACATCCCCTTTACAATGCTCACCACACATAGAACTTGCCCCATGAAGAGATCACTGAAGACATGGATGCCAAAGCAGAGTGTGGTGAAGAAACTAGATGGTGTCCAGCTATAATGAATAATAAATAGCCTCAGGAGTCTTAAAAGCTTGTTGCAAAATAAGCAGCCACGTGAGGAGTCACCTAAGTCCACACTGAAGAAGCACACCAATCTGTGCTATTCAAAGATAGCTAATAATAACATCCACATCTATAAAAGGGAACAGTACCAGTGTCCAAATCCTAAACACCCAGATTGTGGAAAACTAAAGATTAAAGTGGTAACTCAAATCCATTTACATGTCATTACATGGGATGAGCCTCCAGCGAGTCCATCATGAACATTTGTTAGGCCAAAGCCATTAACCCAAACATCAAGTAGAAGAACACCATAGCTGTCTTTTCAGAAGTGCTACCGGCTCACAGGGCATTTCTATAGTGGTATATCCATGACTGTGAACCTAATCATCACACTTGCTTTCAGTTTTTAATTATAAGATGTTTTTCACTATGCTTAAGAGGTCTTTTCACTGCCTTGAGCTCAGTATCTACCATAATCAACATTCAAATAATCTTTCATATAATTTTAATTGGAAATCATGAATGTGGAGGACAACCTATATCTATTATCTTCTCCATAGCAGAGAACATCAGAAAAATACTCAAGTCACTTAACCAGTAGTGATCTCTAGGTCACTAGTAATACTGTTTTCTCTCCTTGCAGTCATTAAGCAATTCCATGTTTCACAAGTGCAAACCACAATTCCACAATTCCTCACTGATGGGGATGATACACTGCTGCATCTGAGGGTAGGCTGAAAGGGTCACCTTCAAAAATAAATAAATAAAAATTCTAACACTAATAAGCATTAACTTGCATGAAGTGTAGCCCTCGTTCCTTGAAATAGCTGAAAATCTGTCATTTAGCCATGTCTTCCTGCCACTAATGCAGGTTTCTCATAAAGTAGATATCTTCTCAGTGCTCTGCTTAGAGGATTTGATGTGCAGTCCTAAGAGGACTAATGGTAGCTATGTGCATGATTCCACACTCAATCTGATGAATATTTGCATCCCACAGAGTCCATGGAAATAAAACAAGCAATAAAAGCTACAGAATCCTATGTGGAATGGTAACCACTAAGCCATAGTTTTCAAAGGGAGTTAAGGGTAAAAACAAAAACAAAAACACAAATGTAGCAATGTCAAATTGAAATTCAAAAAGGAAATCTCCAAAGTTTGTGAAGAGACAGATTTCAATATCATGGATTTCCTGTAGCTCTTGGGCTCATTCGCTGCTTTATTTTAGTGATATAGAAAGTGAGAAACAAAATCTTGAAATCTCAAAAAGGCAATGGGGCAGAGATGACAAGTCCTAACTAATTAAATACTTCTGGTGGCTCATTCGGTCTCTTTGCACCTGGGTTATGGAGGTTGAAGCGCTTGTCAAGAGTGCTAGCGATAAGCAGTGGTAGCTATTTCTGTTGGTCAAGGTGGCATCAACACCATCTTCAACCTCGGTCAAGCGTTATCAGGAAGTTTCTTTGTGTTCAAAGTGAAATTCTTTCACAGAAGCCTGATTTGAACTGGTAAAACCATATTCTCCTTAAAGCAACTCTCTGGACTGAGCCCAAGGAGACCAGGAAGAGAATATCATACAAATGGCAAAAATTTAAGCAACCTTCTTTATTTTAACATGCTGATTGCAGACACACAGGGCCAAATCCCACACAGTGCGGGTTTCTGCTGCTTTTCACTTAGGTTGGATGAACCACGTTGAAGTGGGTAGGTTTTTCCTACTCGAAAACTAAAATCCTGTGCTGGATGGTTCATGTCTCTCCAAAGGGTCACCTTAGGTTCACCGGCTCAAGATCCTCTAATAACAAATAGCTAAAATAACTGCATTATGGAAAAGACCGCTTGTTCCTTTTTAAGATAATAAATGGGAACATATATCTAAAAAGGCAAAGATGTTACTTTGATGACTAAGATGCCGCTGACCCAAGCCACGATGTTTTCAATCTCCACATATGTGTGTGAAAGTTGGACAATGTAAACATGAAATTTAATAGGGAACTAGCATCATGAAATTGTGACAAATCATACTGAAAATACCAGAAGAATGAACAAATCTGTTTTGAAAGAAATGCATAAAAAATGTTTCTTGGAAGGGAGAGCATGAGACATCATCTCACTCATGTCATCAGGAGGGCCCAATCTTTCATCATGTGTGGCAAAGTGGAAGATCAGTGCATAAGAGGAAGACCCTCAAAAACATAGTCTAACACACTGGTTGCAGCAATGAGCTCAAACATAGCCATGGCTGTGAGGCTGACACAAGACCAGGCAGTCTTTCATTCTGTTTTGCATAAGATTTTTTTCTGCTACACATAAAACTATCAGTCTGAGATTACTTGATAGCAACTGACAACTTCACACTTAGTGTCAAGGCTCAACTTCATTTTATAACCTTATGTCTATATTATAGCTCCAAATTAGGGCTGAAGAAGTTAGTTCAGTATTATTATCTTGGAATATGGGTGTATCTAAATTGTTTGAATATGGATGTTGTTGCTAGGTGCCATGGAGTCAGGTCTGAATCACAGTGACGCTATGTACACAGAATGAAACACCACGTGGTCTTGTGCAATCCTCACACTTATTCTTATGTTTGAGTCTGTTTTTTCAGCCACGGCGTCAATCCGTTTTGTGCAGTCTTCTTCTCTTTCATTGCTTCTCTAGTTTACAAAGCAGGATGTTCTCCAGGGACTGATAATACATACAGATCCTACACGATTAAAATAGAACCGCTAGTATGGACTTTCATGTTCTTTCAAGGTTCAAAACATATGCATCCTTTCTCCTAGGCATTGTAAGTCTTGCTTGTTTGGTTGTTTTTTTTTAAGTCTTGTTCTCAAGATATAAATTCAAATATGAGGTTAAATGGTTGGGCCGGGGTTTGACCCTGTGACACCATTAGCCTCTTAGATAGATGAACACTCTCTTCATTTCAATCTTTTGTTCAATAACTGCCAGAAATGACCTAAATCAATGTTTGTGTATTCCAGCCACTGGACCCTTGAAAGCCACTTCTCCAATAATAATTTATATTGCAGACAGATATAATTTGAACTTAGTGGTCAAACAATTCTCAGAGATATCTGGATCTCCAATTGTTTTAAAAAGAGAGATTTCTAACAGAAAGAAATGTCATCATTGGCCTTAGACCTTAGCAATATAAACCTAAAAAAAAAAAGGATATGATGGACAAAATATATCTAAATCACTATTACAAACATGACCTGTAGGCTTTCTAAATCACTTCTGGTTGCTTATAGTCTTGGAGAGATGACTCATCTGTCCCCAAGGAATGCAGATGTTTGGCTAAAATTTCTCAAGAATTTATTGATA